TTTTAAAGGACACATCTAAGTGTTCAATAATCATAGAAGACTCAACGTCTTTAGAAATTAGAGAAATGTAAAATAAAAAAACACGTAATACACAGAAAATTAAATAATATTGATGAATATATGGAGTAAATGAATGCTCATGAAGTAAAGATGAAGTTTAAGTTGTCATTATCTATCTGTGGAAACTATTTTGCCACTAAAGATACATGATACTCCCCCACCAGAAACAGAGGCTCCTAGAAATGGCAGCAGATGTGAACCCTAATGACATAGAAGGACACAGCTATATTGCCCAAAGACCTGAGGCCCAGGGGTGTGCCTAAGGAGCCTGCACACTCAGGAAGAGGAACAACAAATGTGGGAAATAATGGTTTCTAGGAGCCAGACACATTTATGTCATAGTACATACAATTATTAAAATAGTATACTACATGTCAGTTTTCAATAAGTGTCACACAAATGTTGCATTTAACCCAAAGCATGTTTTAAAAAGAAATGTGTAAACTTTAGGAGAACATAAAATACACAGAAGAACATAAAAGACTCAATTACACATTCCATGTATAGATGACAAAACTCTTCATTATCAAGGTGATCATTTCCCCAAGTTAATCTAGAATAATATCCCATCAAAATTTTATCATGCAAAAGTAGCAGCTATCATTTCCTGACACTAATGTATATGAGTGAACTATACTATTACAAAAATAAAGACCCAGGAATCACAATACAGAAAATTCCACAGGTACATTCATATGTATATAAAAATCATTTGTATTGTTAAGTGCAACAGAAGAACCTACACATCCAACCATATCAAGAAACGTATTTAATGTGAATGAACGACACAACGCAACCTAAAGGTAGATGTTAGAACTGGAGGCACAGACTACTGGTAGAGTGTGTGCAGCAAGGGTGTGGCCCTGAGTTGTAGTCCAGTACTCCCCAAGAAGCAGAGGTTAAGCAGGATAATATTCCAAACAGAGCAGACTAGGGGGCTGCTGACTCTCCCTTCATGAGACACCAAACATCTGCTTCTGTTTTGAGTCCCTCTTAAACAGACTCCTAAATGAGTTGAGAGATGTATATACAATGAACAACTGAGAAAACTACTCATCATCAGATGAGTAGGAAAAGTTGAGGTACACTTGGGCATAACTCATGCCTTAAGCAATGAGCCTATAATTCGGACAGAATACTCCAAATCTAGTGTCACCTTGAGTAGAGATGATTGGGGTCAAAAATAAAGCATATTTAACTAAATTGCCTGTAGTTGGGCCTGAATTTATCTGGTGCACAGAGAGGAAGGGACTAGAAATACACCAGTATCAAGACCAGAGGACAAACTAGTGGTTTTCTATGGCTGTGCATAATCCCTGGGCTTCTTCCCTGGGACAAGTAGGAAGAGTTAAATCTCCAGGGGTCCCAGTTTATTCCTAGAAAAGATTTGCCAGCAAATTCTGCAAATTGCTGTTGCTAACAGCTGAGCTTCTTTGTAGCCAGCACCAGAGATAACAGGGAAACACAGTCCACCACAGGAAGCCCAAGTGGGAGTACAGCACTTCCTGAGCCCACCCACCCACCACCCAGCTACTCAGTAGGAACCAGGCCTGCCAATTCTTTCTTTAAGAAGTTTGAGGGGCTGGGGTTGTGGCTCAGCGGTAGAGCACTCACCTAGCACGTGCGAGGCCCTGGGTTCGATCCTCAGCACCACATAAAAATAAATAAATAAAATAAACGTGTTGTGTCCAACTATAACTAAAAAATAAAATATTTTAAAAAAAAGAAAAGAAATTTGAGCATGCAAAATTTGAGTGTCCCAACTTTAACTCATTTCATTCAATGAACTGCATCCAAAACCCCCAAACCCTGGGAGAAATGGCAATTGTGCATGTGTGTATCTCCCCAGATCACAGAGGAGGGGCTTCACATTGGTGTGCAACCCTTAAGTGGGCTACAGACCTCACCAGGAGTGAAGAAAAATGGTTAAAAAGCACAGATCCTTGTTTTGCTTGTGTGTTGTGGTTGTTATTTTGTACCAGGGATTGAACCCTTAGGCAGTTTACAACTGAATCACATCCCTGGCCCTTTTATTACTTTTTATTTGGGGACAAGGTCATGTTCAGCTGCTTAGGGCCTTGCTAAGTGGCTGAGGCTGGCTTTGAACTGTTGCAATCCTCCTGCCTTGGCCTCCCCAGGTGATGGGAATACAGGCATGCACCACCATGCCCACCTACACATCTCTGCTTATTCTCTTTATTTCTAGAAGAGGTTCACAGCTCCTTCTTCCAGTGGCTATTGGGCAGCCTGAATTCTAGCAAGCTTGCATCAGAATTTAGTGCTCCAGTCAACTGTAAGACCTCCTGCAGCCTAAGCAAATGAGGTCTCTGATCGTATGGAAATGGAAGAAAGAACCCCTTTTACACTGTTTCTAGAATATAAATTTGGCACAGATTTTTTTATAAATAGCATGAAAGCTGTTTAAAAACTAAATATAGAACTACTATATGATACACTGATAATAATACTGGGTACACAGCCAAAGAAACTGGAATCCCTCTGTTAATAAAAGACTTCATACTCATCTTCACTTGGCAGTATACATAGTAGCCAAGGTAAGGAAAAAAGTGTCTTTTGGATAAAGGGTGCACCAGGAGATTCCTCCCACCTGCAGGACACTCAGCTACTTTTGAGAGACTACACCCCTAAATTTAGACAGCTTTCTAATAGGTTAAGACCCAGGTACTGATGTTCATGAGACACTCCAAGAGAACTTAGACAGGCCAGCTGTGGGATCCTCGCATCAAGCAGTTCTGAAACATGGGATCAGGAAAATATCAGAGGGGATAATGAGAACCCAGTGACATAAAGTCTACATGGGGGAAAGTCATTTTGACCAGGTAAGGACGGACACACACAAGTTTACACCATGTAAGACTTTTTTTTTTTTTTTTTTTTTTTTTGTACCAGGGGTTCAACTCAGGGCCACTTAACCCCTGAGCCACATCCCCAGCCCTTTTTTGAATTTTATTTAGACACAGGATCTTACTGACTTGCTTAGGACCTTGATAAGTTGCTGAGGTTGGGTGGAACTCAGGATGTTCCTGCCTCAGACTCCTGAGCCACTGGGATTACAGATTGTTGTAACAGACTCAGGGCCACCAAGCCTGGCACTACCAAAGTTTCATACAGATTCACATGAATGTTGTATTTCACATGTGAACATGTTTCTTAAAAGAAATATGTGGGATTTATGAGAAACTAAAATATACACAAGTACATAAAAGACTCAATTATACACCCCATTTACCAATGACAAAAATCATCATTAAAAGAATGACCATTTCCCCCACCCTTACCTATAATATTTATTATCCCATCAAAACTGCTCTGTACACACATGAATATATCACAGTGAATTTCACCATTATGTTTATCTATAAACCAGCAGTTTAAAACTACAAATAAATAGAAGAAGACCAGGAGAGGAGGGAGAATGGGGAGGTGGGAGGTGAGGAAAAAGGGGAAGAACCACTAAAATGGAGCAAATTACATTCATGCTTGTATGATTATGTCAAATAAACCCCAACATTATGTATAACTATAATGCACTAATAAAAAAAATTCAGCATGCTTTATTTGTAATGGAATAAGGAACCAAAGAGTAAATTTCTAAAATTTATCTATACAGTTAAATATATCATTTAGCCAAGAAACCTTTTAATTATAAGAGCAAAAGAAGGAGCTATCATTACTAGATAGTGTATATCATGAAAATATAATAATATCATAATGATCATGGAATCACAGAATTAAAAAATCCATAAATGAATCCATATAATTGTGTTTTGTTTGTTTGTTTTTTTTTTGGTGCTGGGGTTTAAACCCAAGGGCGCTTATCCCCAGCCTTTTTTTTTTTTTTTTGTATTTTATTTATTAATAAGGTCTCACAGAGGTGCTGAGGGCCTCACTAAGTTTCTGAGGCTGGCTTTTAACTCCTGATCTTCCTGCCTTATCCTCCTGAGCCACTGGGAGTACAGGTGATCCTGGCTGAAAATCGTACTCTTAAATTCAATAGAAAGGTCTGTATAAATCCGACCATATCTAGGCCAGTCTCAGCAACTTAGCTACACCCTGTCTCAAAATAAAAAATAAAAAGTACTCATGTAGCCCCCAAAAGAACCACTAGCAAAATGAAGCTTCTCTTCTTGTCTGCAAGATTGTTACAAAGAATGTTAGCATTTTTTTTTCTTCCAGAGCGCTCACTGTGGTTTGAACTTGCTCTTTCAAGTAGAACACAGGTTTGCAGACAGATGTCACACACTCTGCTTCAAGAAAGCTTGCTGTACATGTTATTATTTTTGTTTTCCTTGGTAAAATAATAACCTGTGAAACCTCTCTATATCCTAAAATTATGGGGAAAAAAAAGTAGCTGCCCTGTAACCACACACTGACTATAAATCTCAGAGAAGTTCCCTACCAGGGTCCCCGCGTTGCTCCCTCTGGACGGCTGCAACTTAAGTAAACCTGCTGCCCGCGAATTCCTCAGGTGCCGCCCCCTCCGCCCTACATCAGAACCAGGGATGGAGCTCCTGGTAAAGCACCCTGCGGAAGGAAGGTTGGGGAGGAGGGAGAAAAAGCAAGAAAGCCAGCTAGCTTAGGAGGACGGCGGCAGCGAGGCCCAGCCACGGCTCCTGTCCTGCAGGAAAATCCCATGTGGAGAGAATTCTCCGACAGCCGCCCACCTGTCAATCACCACCCACCTGGGAAGACCGGGCTGCTGGCGCTCTAGGCCAGCTGAGGGGGTGCAGCAGGCTGGGCAGGAGCTCCGCTGCCGACACGCTCCCCACCTGGCTGGCCAGGGGCCTGAGGGGACACTGCCAGGAGGAGGGCTCAGGCCGCGGACCCCGGAGTCCCCAGCAGCTCCTGGCCCCACCGTAGCCAGTCCCGCGGTTCCAACGACCTCCCTTCCCGGGCTCAAGAGGCCCCGCCACACTCACCATTTCCTGGCGCTCGGGAGTCAGGCGGCCACCAGGGATCTTCAGCACCTGCAGGGCAAAGCCACCTGGGACCCCAGGGCTGGCGACAGAAGCCTAAAGCCAGATAGCGAGAAGGGCGGCTCAGAAGGAAAGGGCCCGGCCAGATCACGGAAGCCGCCCTTGTACTCGCTGGCTGAGTCGGGATTGGACGGTTCTCCCCAAGTGCTCTCCGCTGCACCGGGCTGCAGACCCGCCCCGCAGGCTGAGCCCAGAGAGCCTTCTTTCTGAGTGACAGTAGACGACATCCAACCCAGGAATCAGTGAGGCCAGAATGACAGGTTCCTGGTGACAGCTTTTACTTTTCCTCCTGAGGTCTGCGAATTGTACAAGAGGGCCTCAGGCTACAGCTAATCCTATGCAAAGTTTCCTCTTAGAAGAGTGATGTAGCAGCGCCTGGGGACATGTGCGATGAACCTCGCATACAAGGTGATTTCAACTTAAGAATTATATGTCTGCATAGTATTCACGAGTGGAAATAATATATTTACAATTACTGTGCAATTTCATTTAACTTTTCTTCTCTCTCGTTGTTTGAGTAGATAGAATGAACTGGGAAGTAATCCCCTAAAACAGCAATGTCCAATGAAAACCATATGTGAAGCACAAGGATAACTTAAAATTTTCTAATATTCACTTTAAAAATTTAAAAAGAGAGGGGGAATTGATTGTAATGCTATAAACCAATATATTCAGAATATTATCCAGATTATTATCATTAATGTAGCCCCAAAAGAATGTGAATAGGATTTTTTTTTTCCTGCAGAGACCTGACTGTGGTTTGAAGCTTCATCTTTCGTGTAAATGCCAGTTTTGCAGACAAATGTTGTAACAGATTCTGTCTCAAGAAAGCTTGCTGTACAAAAGTTATTATGTTTAAAAAAAAAAAAAAAAAAACCTGTGAAACCTGTCTGTGCTAAAAATATGGGGGGGGGGAGTAACTGCTATGTAACCACCCAGTATAATGTAAACACCCACTGAGGATGAATCTCAAAGGATTCTCCAACCCTGGATCCAGAGAGATTTTTCAGCCTTAGCTCCTCTGGACCACTAAAGCTTACATAAACCTGCTTCCTACAAATTCCTTGGGAGTTCTACCTCAACTGTCCTACATCGGTGTGACCCATATAAAATTACTAATGAAGCATATGTACTTTTGGAACTATATCCCCAAACTCACTGGATTTTAACCTTCTAGGATATCTTATTTTGCAGCAAACACATTTCAGATTTGACTATTATAGGCCCCCTGTTTTCTGAAACATAAAGAGCCTGGTCCCCTGTTTTTTATGCCAGAGGTGACAAATACAGTTCCTTAATAATATTTCTCCTCAGACCCAACATCCTAGGGAGACAGTACCCTGAGTGAGAACAGGGAAGTGTCCAAAGCAGGTCACTCTTTCCCACTAGAAGGTTGTCACAGCTCCATTCCCATTGCAGATATAAGACAGCAAACAAAGGAAAATGGGGTCTCAGGAGGTGGGGGACACATGTCTTCAGATCTGTCCACAGTCTTGACTCTATTGTTTCAAACATGAAATGAATACTTCTTATTTGGCAATTTGGCCTTAGACCTAATGGCCAGGCTATGATGTCTGTTTCATCCTGTGGTCAAAACCCCACAGCTAATTAGCAGCTGGACTGGGACTCAGCATGAGCTGTACCTTATTCCAAAGCCAAAACCCCTCCACCAAACCAAAGGACTCATGCAACATTGCTTATTCTCATCAGACTTGGAATGTGACAATTATTTTGTAAAGCAGCATTTGTGATTATATGTATAGAATACAGTACCATGTATTTCATATCAAAACACAAACAGAACTGTTATGAGGAACCACTTCAGAATACACTCTAAATTCAAATTCAAATCAAAGAGAGCATTATTTACCTGACCAGGGACTGTCACCCACCCATAGAGACTAAAGCTCTGTGGGAGAACAGCAATTTCCTGGCCTGCGTCTTGGAAATTTAAGGATAAAAACCACAGCTCAGGGGCTTCTCTCAGTGTCATGCAAGCAAGCCAATAGTAAGAGGGACCTAAGCAGGACTGGAATTTTCCAGTTAGCAAGCAAGCAAGTTACAGAAGCTAAAAACAGCAGGTAGCTTAACCACATCCAGGTCTGAACAAGTGTTAGACAACTGTATCCTGAGTTTCAGCTGAGTTGGGGGAGATAATCTATTTTAAAGTCCTGTAGACCCATAAATGTACTTAAACTCAGGATGTAGCTCACCACAACTACCATCATATCCTGAGTTGGGTACATTCTGTGGGGTACAAAGTACAGAAAAATAATTTTGTTTAAAAGGAGACAGCTTTCATTTTTGTTTCTCAGAAATGGGTACTGCAGTTCCCTTTCACAGGAGCAGTAACAGGAGAACAAAGATAGATTCTAAAATAGCCAAGGTGGAGTCCCTATGGCCACACTTGTGTTTGTATAGCCACAGTGACTCCACTGCAATTATCCCAGTACTAGAAACTTATTTGATTATTGCAGTTGTACTCATCATTTTAGTACTGATATCCATAAGCCATATGTCTAACATGATCAAACTAATACAATTATTCACAACTATATAGGTTTCACCTTGTCTATATCTATATTAACCTATCAGCATTTATTTATCTATAACTATGCAGGCATATTGACTTATCACCATTCACTGTTCCATATCTTTTTCCTCTAGCTTAAATCCTATGTGTTACAGTTACATGATTTTATTACTATTACTTAGGCTTACTCCTGATGAACTTATCTATGAATTTATGTCTTACTGTTGCTTATCTATGTTACATTACCTAATTCCTATAATCTATGACCTATGTCTATGACTTATTGATTATATTGACCAGTTCACACCACAACAAAGACTTCTCATATACCTGAGTCATCATGAGACTCCCAATTCAGGATCTAGGGAATCTTGGCTCAGTTTACATCAAGGGTAAACACCATCTAGAAGTAATCTCAACTCCCTTTTGCAAATAAAAATATAGGCTGATTTTTAAAATGTGGTAGGTTTAATCAGGGTTTATAAATTATTCATCAGGCTTCTCTAGAGGGATATAAAAGACCACTGAGTCCTGTGATTTCAAACACAGATAAACATTAGGCTATAGAGAAATGTAGCAAACAACTTCTTTATTGTAGACATAAAATAAGAGGAGGACAAAGAGGGACCTATGATTATTGGCAGTGCCATGAATCATCTGATATAGGAATCTATATCAGACCAGGAAGATTCAAAATGTGTATTTGAGCATGTGGATAGCATCAGTGCCTGTGGGAAAAGGTTATAATAAACTTTCAAAAGAAAACTGGTGTGAGTGGCAGATAGTGGCTAAACAATTAGTATCTGCAAGGCATCTTCCAGGGTTTTGTCAGTGATGGAGCCACAGCACATATGTGTTTAATAGCCTTCATGAGGATCTTCATCTGACTGAGTCCTCCAAGAACATCCTCAAAACAAGGAAAACGTAGGCTTCTACATATCAAATGGCTTCTTGGCAGTATGCATCCCAACTGAGAACTGCCCAGACAGGACTGTATGAAATTCCTTCAAACCTGCTCCTGTAGGGAGAAAACCTCTCTCCTCCTAGAGAAAATATTCCAGGAGGATCTTTTGACTTAAGAGACACAATTTCTTGTCCTTTTTTGTTTTGTTTTGTTTTGTTATGGCAGGTCTTTAGAAACAAAGCTATCAACCACTTGTTCCTCCTAGGGCCAAATGCTTATAGACTACAGAATAAAATAAATAAATAAACAAATAAATAAATAATTCTTTTTTTTTTTTAAGCACATCACAGGACTCAGAATCTGAATCAGGGAATAACAATATTAAATGGCCAAGAATCAACTTGAAAGATGACTCAAGCTGATCACCTGAAAAATTAAAAATGAATGGAACAGTGTGATTTTATTTGCCACATAGATGAAAGAATAGCCCCCCCAAAAAATGCCAACACCCAGGAAATACTGGCTTCAGAGAAGCAGCTATAGTCAGAGATTTCTGGTGGCAATCTTAGAGCTGCAGCTTCAATGTGACCATGCTCTGCCTGTAGCTACTGCAATGTTACATGTGCATATTCTTTCAATCAGTATTTTATTTCCTCAGATTCTATCCTCATTAGGAAACCAGTTTGTTATCAGATAAATTGTGTCCCCCTCCCCAAATCTCATGTTGGTGTTCTAAATACCCAGTGCCTCAGACTGTGACTCTATTTGCACATATGTTGCTTACAGATAAAACTAGTGTTAATCCAAGTATTTGGTGTGGGGCCTAATCCATAAAGCCACTTGGCCCACTTATAAGAAGTGACAATAAGGACACAAATAAGCATAGAAAAATGTTGTGCATACATGGAGAGAGAAGATGGCAATCTACACGTCAAAGAGTGGGCCTCTGGGCTGGGGATGTGGCTCAAGCGGTAGCGCGCTCACCTGGCATGCGTGGGGCACTGGATTCGATCCTCAGCACCACATAAAAATAAAAAATAAAGATGATGTGTCCACTGAAAACTAAAAAATAAATATTTAAAAAATTCTCTCTCTCTCTCTCTCTCTCTCTCTCTCTCTCTCTTTTAAAAAAAAAAAAAGAGTGGGCCTCAAAAGAAATCACTCCAGCAAGCATGTTGATGTATAGCCTCTAGAATTAGGACAAAATTAATTTCTGTCCTAAAGCCCACAATTGCGGCAGTGTCTTATGACAGCCCTATGAAACAGATGTAGCCCTCTAGAACACACATACATTGTCCCTGCAGCATGCTGAATGAAGGTACAATTGGATCACATCACCTTCCACCAGCATTGAAAGGCTGAACTGCTGCAATAAATGGCATTTCTTACTGGAATATTCTGAAGGCAGGTGAGAAATTAGCTCCTTACCTAGTGGAACCATAGTGATATTGCTGTGGGCCTGCTATACAGGCAATGACCAAACAGACTCCATTTACCCTAAGACTCCATATCATGTAAGAAATGCTTCTCCCATAGGAAAAACCTGTCTCTGTACTCATTAATAGTTACCTAGCACAGCATACTTGGCAACACAAAATGGCAATTCTTATACAATGTAAAATTGTTCTCTTTGGTTCCCATTTTTCTTGGGCAATGTACCTTCAGAGATTGATTATCTAGATGTTAGTAAAAATTTTCTAACTTGTATGCAACTAGGGTCATT